TCACATGGTTTTCTGTCTGTAGCTCCATCTGTTCACCTGGAGTCTCACAGTCAAAGACACAGGACTTGGAGGGGGTGGGGGGGGGGACGACACACATTTCACTGACTAACGTGATGACATCACCTGGTCTGTTGCCTTCACTGACTCTTTTCTCAGTTGTTTTTCCTAAGATTGAGGGAGAAGAAAATTGACTTAAGTAAAATCGTCAACATCGGCTCAGAAACGTTTGATGTTGTTTTTGTTTCCAGGTTGTTTACTGGACCTGGACTCCAGTAACTCCAACACCCCCCCCACCACAGCCAGCACCGACCTGTGGGGAGACTTTGACTCCCCGTAAGGATCCTTCAGAGAGACGCCCCCCCCCCCCCCCCCCCCCCTACCTCTGTACTCCATATGTCCCTATTTCCGTTTCCTCCTCCAGATGGCAGTGTTCTGTGTCTGTGTTCTGTCCTGTAGTGAAGCGTGTTTGGTTTTGTTATTGGTTCTGTTCTTCACAGCCTCTGTTGTGGTTTTCAGACTGATGAGAAGATCAGAACATTCTGTCATTCCTCCTCACTCTCTCCTGTCCGTCTGTTTCCTCCTGTCTCTGTCTGTCCCTCAGTCCGTCTGTCCGTCCGTCCATCCATCAGTCCGTCCGTCCATCTGTCTGTCTGTCCATCAGTCCGTCCGTCCATCTGTCTGTCCATCCATCTGTCTGTCCATCCATCAGTCTGTCCGTCCATCAGTCTGTCCGTCCATCTGTCTGTCCATCCATCAGTCCGTCTGTCCGTCCGTCCATCCATCAGTCCGTCCGTCCATCTGTCTGTCCATCCATAAGTCTGTCCATCCATAAGTCTGTCCGTCCATCTGTCTGTCCATCCATCAGTCCGTCCGTCCATCTGTCTGTCTGTCCATCTGTCTGTCCGTCCATCAGTCCGTCCGTCCATCAGTCTGTCCGTCCATCTGTCTGTTTGTCCATCAGTCCGTCGGTCCATCAGTCCGTCCATCTGTCTGTCTGTCCATCTGTCTGTCCGTCCATCAGTCTGTCTGTCCATCAGTCTGTCCGTCCATCAGTCTGTCTGTCCATCAGTCTGTCCGTCCGTCCGTCTGTCCGTCCGTCCGTCCGTCCGTCCATCTGTCTGTCCGTCCATCTGTCTGTCCATCCATCAGTCTGTCCGTCCATCAGTCCGTCCGTCCGTCCGTCCGTCCGTCCATCAGTCTGTCCGTCCATCAGTCCGTCGGTCCGTCCGTCCCTGCGTCCGTCCCTGTAGTGATGAGTTCACCTCCCACAGCTATCGTCCTAATCTTGAACCTAAACCACACAGTACTAATGATGAAGTTAATGTACAGAGAACTTATTTATTGTATATATGGTTTTAAATATGACCTCGTCACCTGTCGTCTGTTCTCCAAGTCTCCAGCAGGGGGACTGATTATATGCACTGACTGACAATCTGCTCTGTCTTTGGACTCAGTCCTGTGTTGTCAGATGATTTCACTTCCTGTCCACTTCACCACCAGAAGATGATTCACTGTAGACTGAGCTAACGCTGATCTGTGCTCTCTAGCGCTCTCTGCTGGTAGATTGTGTTTGTCCCAGGGATTTATCCTGATTAGCTGCAGCTTATGAAGACATTTTTTGTTTGGCTGAATCTGCGTTCCTGCTCCGGGACCGGCTTCGGCTCCTTGATTGGTCCCGAGGACGTGAGCGGGTCGTCGTCCTGGACAACAGCGCCTCCTACTGCACTGTATGAAACCTGTCTCTGTAGAATTGAGTTGGTGCTGTGTGGAGCAGTGAGAGCTGGGCCGTTACCATGGCAACACGTTTGTCTTCTGTTTAAACTGCTTCTCTCCAAATGTGACTGTATTGAAAATGTATGTGTTTATGGAAATATATATGGAGTGGAGTATGAAGGAGAAACCGACTTCACTGGTCCAGGTCTGTCTTCATGTTTATAAACACCTCCACACAGGAGCCCTGGTTCTCAATCGGTGGTAGGAGTACCTTTGATGGTACTTGGGCTCCCTCTACTGGTACCTTGGAGAACCTGAGCTGCCTGGTGGTTGAATACAGCTGTGTGTGTGTGTGTGTTGAATGAAGTGTTACTTCAACCCGTGGCTCTGGGGCTGCTCCTCGTACTCCTCTGAAGTCATTTCTTTTTGAACTCTTTTATTGTCAGTTTATTTCAGGGACGTTGATGTTACAGATGAACACACCTGTACTTCACTGATGGTTCTATAGGGGGCAGTACACAATGTAGTAATTGGTATACACTACAGTGACTCGTGAACCATCAAAACTATGGTCTGTGTCCAGCAGTGTGTACACACACACACACACACACACACACACACACACACAGAGAGTTGATACATGAACATAGATATGACTCAGCACGGGTATGTGTGTGTGAGGCTGGGGGTGAGGGTGAGGCTGAGGCTGGGGGTGAGGGTGAGGGTGAGGCTGGGGGTGAGGGTGAGGGTGAGGGTCTGTCACCAGCACCGGTCTAAAAGAGAACTGAAGAAAGTGCTGCTCGCTGAATTTCCGTTGTTCTGGGATGTTGTCACGACGACGCCCCGCCCCGTCCTCACAGGTGGTCGACGCCCTGCCCCGTCCTCACAGGTGGTCGACGCCCGGCTCCGGTCCGTCCCCGTTAGCCCAGGTTTTCAGGTTGCTACGGCGATTGCGACAGCGTTTGGTGTTGGATGACCTCTTGACCCGCCGGGGCCAGCCGGAGCGCTCCCTGCAGAGTTCAGCTGTGTGGTCAGAAAGACAGAGGGTCACGCAGTGTGAGCGTGCGTCCTGGTCGGACCGTGAGGTCACGTGACGAGCGCCCGACCTTTCAGATACTCGTCCTGCCGGCACACGGTCCTCGTGCAGATCTCCTTGTTGATGACGTAGACGCGGGGGAGGCTGCAGTGGACACAGACACGGGTCACTGTGGGGGTTTGTCCTGACTGACCTGCTGGGAATCGAACCTCAACACAAATACCCTGAGATCATAAGAAGTGGTTCAGAGGTTTGACCTTTGACCTTCAGTTTGACCTGCGTCCTGTCATGTTGACTTGAATCTGGTGTTTGTTTTAGTGGTGTTAGTGCCCCCCCCCCCCCCGACCCCCCCCACCCCCCCCCCAAAATGAAGTCATTTGTTTTTTAATTCATTTTTTGGGGTGATTTGGTCATGGACGGGGTGGGGGGGGGGGCAGAGTACCCTGACAGACCTCCAACAGAAGTCACTGTCTTCTAACATGAAGTACACGTTAGGTCGGGGGGTCGGGGGGGGGGGGGGTCGGGGGGTGTGGGGGGGGGGGGGGGTCGGGGGGGCAGAGGACCCTGGCAGACCCCCCACAGACAGGGACTTCTAACATTAAGTACACGGTTGTGCGGGGGGTCGGGGGGTGTGTGGTGGGGGGTGCGGTCACCTGTACAGACAGACACCCCCGATGCATCTCTTCAGCGGTCTGTGGACTGAGTACATCCTGGTGCACGGGTACAGCTCCTCCCTGCAGTCTGCTGACACGGACGACAGAACACAGGTTAGTCCGTGACCGGAGGTCAACGAGGGTCAGAGGTCGAGGTGCGTGATGACTCACCGGCTGGTAAGGTACTTCCTGTCGGCGCCTCAGTGTGCCCTGAAAACAGAAAGGAGACAAAGTGTTGGAGCAGCGACCCACATCAGTGAGTCAGGCGTGGACTCCTGACGTGAACTGTGACTCCAGGTGAAGGTCGTTACCAGGCTCCACGGTTTGGGCCACAGCCGTGAGCACTGTGGAGCAGAAACCACATCAGGGCAGAGTTTCTCAGCATAAAAACAAACACGCCGCGGCTCCACCATAATTAAACAAGATGATTTTTGTGTTTCTGTTTGGCAGCGTTACCGTGGAAACTGCAGAGGAGCAGGAGCGCTGGAAAACTGCCCATTCCTTCGACGTCTCCGAGGTGTAGCTTTTACGAGCTGCAGGAAAGGGACGAGAAAAAAGTGTGAGGAGGATTTCACAGAGTGGAACTGTTCAATTTTCTCTCTGGGGGTTTTTCTTCTGTTGACGTTTCCTTTCATCTTCAAACCCTTTCAGTTATCCAACATTCCTGTAGTGGGCGCTGATGTTTCCACCTCTGGACACAGAGCTCTGCTGTGTTCTGTTGTCATCGGTGTCCAAAAGCACGGCCTGATGTCACTCACTCTGCTGCATGTAAACAGCTTCATGAGGAGTGAAGGATTGTGGGTAGTAGACTGTATGAAAACAGTCCACTCCCTCCTCCTCCCTCCTCCCCCCTCCTCTTCCTCCCCCCTCCTCCTCCTCTTGGTTCCCACTGGACATCATTCCTCCTGTGATGTGTCAGTGCGACCTTGGTGTCCAAGACGTGAGTTCTCTCAAAAGAATGTTCCCTGTTCCAGCAGCCCCCCCCGTCTCCCCCACCCCCGTCTCCCCCACCCACATTCTTTTAAACGTTCCATTTATTTTCATGGAACATGGCAGAACTTCTCTTCCCCTGACTCTAACCTCACCCTCAGATCCTCACCCTCAGATCCTCACCCTCACAACCCCCCCTTCCGAATCTTCACCTCATACGCTCACACCCCTCAGATCCTCACCCTCAAACTGCCAGAAGCTCAGAAATCAAACCTTTAGCTGTTTGTCAGAGACAACGTCCGCCCTGAGCCGTGAACCTCACACAAACATCAAGTCGACCAGTCGTCAGTCTGAGGACACTGGTCAAAGTTAACTGGTCAAAGTTAGCTGGTCAAAGTTAACTGGTCAAAGTTAGCTGGTTAGGTTGATCAGGGTTTACTCACTGTCTGCTGTCGTCCACCGCTGCCTTTGTTTTCTGAATCCTTTGTCTTCTCCTCCTTCCTCCTCCTTCCTTCTTCCTCCTCCTCCACCAGTTCACATCGTCTTTTTTCAACTTTTTCTTTTTTTTTCCCGTTTCTGTCTGAAAAAAACGAAACCCAGTGAGTTGGAAACCATCGGTCTGGAGGGACAGAGTCCCTGTCCTGTGTCCAACACATGTTCGACCTATAGAATCAGGACGGGCTGTGACATCATCACCACCTGGTAGATTCAGGCAGTTTTGTTTATCAAAGTTGAAGTGAACCACAGGAAGGTGGCGCTGATGCTGATGCTGGGTCTGTCCTGATCTCCACAGTGGTGGCTCAGTGGTTAAGGAAGTGGACTTGGATCCGGAAGGTTTCAGGTTCGAGTCCTTGGTGATTGGTTAAAGACAGAGGTCACATTTGGTTGTGTGCAGTGCAGTGGTGCAGTGGAGTGCTCCGTGTCACAGTGACAAGGAGTTCACTTTCCCATTCCTCGATTACTGGGAAAGTACATTGTGCACTACTCAAGATAACCAGCAGGTGGAGTAGTGCACCCAGAGAGTGATTACATGGCCCTCATCACTGCATTTATAACCTGGGAAAACAAAAGGTCAAAAGGTCAATTTTATAAATGTGACTTTTCTTAGCGATACAGAAGAAAACAACATCAACAACAACAACAGACATCATCAACAACATCAACAACAACAACAACATCAACAACAACAACAACAACAGACATCATCAACAACAACATCAATCAACAACA